GGAGGTCATGATTCCGTTCAGGGTCAAGGCCCAGGCCCAGGCTGTGGGCTCGATCCCCAGTGGGGGGCGTGCAGGAGGCAGCCCATCCATGATTCTCTCTCATCACTGATGTTTCTCTCTCTCTCTTCCTCTCCCTTCCTCTGAAATCAATAAATGTTTTTAAAAAATCAATAAAAACATTTTTAAAAAAAATCAATGTTTTGTAATTTTTGGGACGTAAATCCTAAAAGTGAAAAATAAAAATGTGTAACTAAAAACCAAATGTAGGAGATGCAATACAATGACGGAGGATACTTGATTAGGAGACCTCATTTAAGTAGCATGCGGTGAGCGGTGGCCGGCCGTTACGCCCGCTGCAACAAGTAGAAGAAAGACGATTGGCCCCGGCTGGTGGCTCAGTGATTAGAGCGCTGGCCACACAGAAGGTCACAGATTCAATTCCTGGTCAAGGGCACGTACCTGGGGCGGCACAGACTCCAGGCCGGGCCGGCTCAGCACCATCAGACCGCGGGGCAGGGAACCCTGACCGCCAGCAAACGGGAGACAAGGGAGGATGCGGGTGCGGCCTCGGCACTGGGCGGTTTGAGAACAGGCTGGAGCCGACAGAGGACAGAACTGCCCAACCTGTGGGGTATAAGTTCAATCCCTGCCCCTGGTCGGGGCACATGTGGGAGGCAACTAATCCAGCTGTTTCTGCCACACCGATGTCTCTCCCTCCCTCCCCATCTCCCTCCTGCCTCTCTCTAAAAATCAATGGAAAAAATACCCTCGCTGGGGACACGTGACACACCCTCCCACATGTGACCGGAGGCCAGAGAGGAGCAGGAGCCACATCTGAGAGATAATGGGGAGCACTTTTCACAGTGGATGGGAGTCTCTAACCACACCAGACGGTGACCCTCACCCCCGGACGGTGACCCTCACCCCCGGACGGTGACCCTCACTCCCGGACGGTGACCCTGACGCCCGGACGGTGACGGTGACCCCCGGACGGTGACCCTGACGCCCGGACGGTGACCCTCACTCCCGGACGGTGACCCTGATGCCCGGACGGTGACCCTGACGCCCGGAGGCTGAGGTCCCCGCGTTCCGCCCCCAACCCCGCGCTCTTACTGAATGAGGGCGTAGTACTGCTGGGTCAGCTCCTTCCACTGCTCCTCCGTCAGGTCCGTGGCGGCGTCCGTGGCGACGTCGATGTCCTCGTGCTCCCGCTGCCCCAGGCAGGCCTGGCACGCCTGGC